GTGCAGGGGATGACCAGAGACTGCGGACACAGTGCAGGGGATGACCAGAGACTGCGGACACAGTGCAGGGGATGACCAGAGACTGCGGACACAGTGCAGGGGATGACCAGAGACTGCGGACACAGTGCAGGAGATAACCAGAGACTGCGGACACAGTATAGGAGATGACCAGAGACTGCGGACACAGTACAGGAGATGACCAGAGACTGCGGACACAGTACAGGAGATGACCAGAGACTGCGGACACAGTACAGGAGATGACCAGAGACTGCGGACACAGTACAGGAGATGACCAGAGACTGTGGATACAATACAGGAGATGACCAGAGACTGCGTACATAATACAGGAGATGACCAGAGACTGCGGACACAGTACGGGGGATGACCAGAGACTGCGGACACAGTGCAGGGGATGACCAGAGGCTGCGGACACAGTGCAGGGGATGACCAGAGACTGCGGACACAGTACAGGAGATGACCAGAGACTGTGGATACAATACAGGAGATGACCAGAGACTGTGGATACAATACAGGAGATGACCAGAGACTGCGTACATAATACAGGAGATGACCAGAGACTGTGGATACAATACAGGAGGGATGACCAGAGACTGCGGACACAGTACAGGGGATGACCAGAGACTGCGGACACAGTGCAGGGGATGACCAGAGGCTGCGGACACAGTGCAGGGGATGACCAGAGACTGCAGACAGTGCAGGGAATAACCAGAGACTGCAGACAATGCAGGGAATGACCAGAGACTGCAGACAGTGCAGGGAATGACCAGAGACTGCTGACCTTTGGGGAGGGAGGGGGAGCGGGTACCTGAATTTGACAGGTACCCGCTCCCACTTCCGCGGAGTTGTCCTTCCCTCTTCTTCCCGGGCCGGCTTCTGTGACAGCCGGGTGCCCACTGCGCATGCGCGAGAAGCGCTGCGCTTTGTGAATGGCCCGGCGCCTTCTGGGACCTGTCATGTGTCCCAGAAGACACCGGATCATTCACAATGCGCAGCACATGCGCAGTGGGCACCCGGCTGTCACAGAAGCCAGCGCGGGAAGACTGTGCAGCGCTGGAGCGAGGAACAGGTAAGGCCCTGCAGGAGAGAACAGCTGAGCGGCCGGCCCGGTATTCTGACATGGTGGCCGCAAAAATACCGGACCGGCCGCTTTATACTCGTTCCATAAGATGCACTGACATTTTCCCCCCTTTTTGGGGGGGAAAAAAGTGCGTCTTATGGAGCGAAAAATACGGTATACCATTGCTTGTAGACGCTATACCTTTCATACAAACCAATCAATATACACTTCTTTTTTTTACCAAAGACATGTAGCACAATACATTTTGGCCTAAATTTGAATTTCTTTGGATATGTTTTATAACAGAAAGTAATAAATATTGTTTTTTTCATATTTTTTTCATTTATACAATAAAACATAAAAAAACCCAGTGGTGATCAAATACCACCAAAAGAAAGCTCTATTTGTGTGAAAAAAATTACATTAATTTCATTAGTGTACAGTGTCGCATGATTGCACAGTTATCAGTTAAAGCATCACAGTGCTGAATAACCAAAAATGCCCTGATCATGAAGAAGGTAAAATCTTCCGGAGCTTAATTGGTTAAAGTCGTATTAAAGCTAAAAGCAAACATTTATTATATTGTAGCTTACCAATTCTTAGATGTGGTGGTTGCATTAGTTTTCTCTTTTAGGCTTTCTTTACTATATTTTCAACTGGTAATTTACACAGGAAATCTGCTTTTTTTTCAACAGAACAAGCTGTCATGCAGATGTAACACTTAGAGGGATGAGATAAACCATTTAACACTGACAGGTGTGCTTACAATTGACTTGTTATTTATTTATGTACAACCTTTCTTCTCAAAAGGAAAAAGCTGTTGCTGTAACTGCTTAAAACGTGTTAACTGGAGTTTGGCTTCAATTTGCTAATACAGTACATCTAAATCTGCTGTCCATCTAACACTCTCCTTCCGCCAGATTCTCCCAGATTAACAATGCTGTCCAAAGCTTGGTCCTTCATCCAGAATGGCAGCACTCTAATACAGAAGGTGTGTTGGCCGGATTGCCAGGTGAAAACAGGGAAAAAAAATCTGAAAAAGAAAACAAATGCACCACATCTAATGTTTGATAAGCTGCAATATATTACATTTTGGTTTTGGGTTTAATCCCGATTTAAATTTCACATTTCCAGTCTCATATCTTTTCTCTGAATCAGGGGTGGACTGACCATTTGGGAACTCGGGCACTGCCCGAGGGCCCGGGGTCAGTAGGGGGCCCCATGAGATGCCCCTGGTACCATTCATAGGCTTTTATGGGTGTAGTTTCAGTGTGGGCAAGGACACAGGGGCCCCATAATCCCCTACTGCCCAGGGGCCCCATGAGTTGTCAGTCCGCCCCTGCTCTGAATACATCCAACAATGAAATGGTTCTCTCTGTAGAGATGTGTTTTTGAAAGATGAAATGGAATAGCTATCTTGTCAAGTGATTTATGCCTCCTGACATTGGAGGTATTATGTGTAAGCACTGCCCTGTATTGTCAGTAAATTGGTCAACATATCTGAGTGAGTGTACATGGTAAATCTACAGCCTGCTGTATTGTAGCACTTGATGATAGAAAACATCATGACACTGTCAAAATTCTTGGTATCTGAGCAAATTTTAGCATGCTTATGTGTGTGGAGAAATAGAAAACTTATTTATTGCACAGAGATGTTTGGGGGGTCTATTTTTACAGATAATTGTTTAACCACTTCCATACCGTGCACTTTTAACCCTTTCCTGCCCAGGCAAATTTTCAGGTTTCAACGCTCTCACACTTTGAATGACAATTGTGTGGTCATACAACACTGTACGCAAACTTTTTTCATTTTCTTCACACAACTAGAGCTTTTTTTTTTGGTAGTATTTAATCACCACTGAGGTTTTTATTTTTTGCTAAATTAACAAAAAAAGACTGAAAATTTTTAAAAAGTTTTTCTTTGTTTCTGTTATAAAAGTTTGTAAATAAATAATTGTTCTTCATAAATTTAGGCCAAGATGTATTCTGCTACATTTCTTTGGTGAACATAACCCAAATCAGTATTTATTATTTAGTCTGTAGGAAAGTTATAGAGTTCACAAACTATGGTATAGATCTGAAAATTGATCAGTCCTGAAGTACTGACGGCCAATCTAATTTCTTGAGGTCCAAGAATTTCAGAACAGTACAGATATCCCCCAAATGACCCTTTTTTGCAAAGTACACAGTCTGACATGTTTCATAACAGGAATGGCGAGTTTTTTGAAGTTGTAATTTTTTGTCATAATTTTTCAGAAAATGAAGAAATTAAAAAAATGATTTTCACAATTTTTTGTTTTACATACTGTCACCAGTGCAGTACAGCGTCATCATATAACTGGCATGGCAGTGATCAGGGACACTGGTGACAGTACAAAAAAAAACCTGATAATTTCTTTCCATTTGTTTTACATTTTTTTTTATTATTTTTAATTTTTTCTCTTTTTTTAAGATTTTTTTTCATATTGCCCTATGACCAAAGTAGTATAATGTTACCATAGTAACATTGTACTACTTTGGGGAAGTGATCAGTATTTTTTTTTTTTTTTAGACAATTTGCTTATGGCAAGGAATTACTTTGCTATAAGCAAGCATTTTACCTGAATGACATCGATTCATTCAGGGTTTTTTTTTGTGATTAGCTGTGATTTGGCACGGCTAACCACATGACACAGCTGGGCTGTGATTGGCCCAGTTTGTGCATGTGATCGCTGTGACCATTCACAGCTAGACATACTTGTATACAATGGATGGCATGAAAGGAAGCCATCCATTGTATACAACTGTCATGTGACCTGCTGTGATTGGTCATAGCAGGTCACATGGTACTGGCAACGGGGCCAGCACACAGATCTGTCATTGGCCGTGTCCAAGGTACACAGCCGGTGTCAGATCTCGCCACAGCATAGCCCTGCGGGCATGCGCAATGCGCATTCCATAAAGGACGCCATATGGCATCCACCCGGAGGGATGAGCTGTTTGCCTGGCTGCCATCTGGCTATAGGTCGGGCGGCAACTGGTTAAAATGGTATGAATATGGAACAAAGTTGCCAACCGTCAGTATTTTTACTGTAATTACTATAATTAAACACCCCTAATTTGCAGGTTTGAACAAAGCGGAACTTTTTTGTAACAAACTTTGAAAACAAAAGATATAAAAAGTTCACCAGGCTTATTCTTCTATGTTGACAGCAGCTGGAACTGAGCAAGAGTTCTAATAATCAAAATATGTGATGATACCTTGTCTTGTGAATAGAATTGTCTTGTGACTTGGAGTCTCGTGTCTTGTTTGGATATACTAGCTGAGTGCTTCCATTAGGATGGAGGCACAAAAAATTTCTGTTATCCCACCTGCTTAGTACTAATGGGCAATGGGTTCTTCTGCAACTCCTGTGCTCCAAGAAGAAGCTGTGTCAATTGATGAGGTTATCAGTAAGTGGATACATTCATTTCCTGGGGAACAGTAAAGGGTTCAACAAGATCCCTTAATAGTTTATCAAAATGTCAAAAGTCTGCATGATACTGGTTACAGGTAAAAAAATGTAATCAGTCAAATTTCTTCTTCATTCAAAACCCTCACAAAGTGATGTTTTTTATGTGCTGGTCATAGCCACAGAATGAATAACCTTTTCTGTTTGCTGTACATGTAGACATGTTAAAGTGGGTGAACATTTCACAGAAATCTGCCACCCATGGATAAAAATCAAAAGTAGAGTAAAAAGCAGTTAAAATATCCACAGAGCCAGTTGTTGTGTATTCAAAATCATCACACTAGATCCTTATTTATAACATCTTTTAATGCTTACTTAACATCTATGTTTCTGAGGGCTTATACATTGATTTAGCTACAAAGCATTGAAAAGCATATCAATAAAAAAAACCTCCCAAAAACATACAATCATATAGCAACAGTAACAATAGCTTATTTGTCATCTTGACATGGATTTGGTGTTGAGTCATCACCACCTCCTCCACCACCATCACCTCCATCTCCACCACCTCCACCGCCTCCACCTCCTCCACCCCCTTCCCACCCACCTCCATCTCCTCCACCACCATCACCTCCACCCTCACCACCCCCTCCATTTCCTCCTCCTCCACCTTCTGGGCAGCTATAAACTGGCTGAATAAGTATATCACTAGACTGACAATCTCCTTTGCATAACTGCTGCCAGTAAATGCCAGAGCCAGTATTAAGATTGGCAAACCTGCAGTTGTCATACCACCATCCTCCACCACCAATGTATGCACAGTTGGATGCTGATAAATCATTGTCACGATCACGGGTAGAGAATCTCATATTATCATGTCCTGCACTAGGCTGTCCAGATGTCATGGCATCTCCAGCATTACCTGAATATCGACCTAATCGTATTCTATAACAGCTTTGTTCCTCTTCAAGAGCAAAGGAATCATAGTTGGCCAAATGCTGTGTACCATAAGCAGAACGCACTCGAAACCGAATGTGATGCAACTTTTGCGTGCTCAGTAAGTGAATATTTTCATTACCCAGCCAGTGGTCACTTTGCAGGTCTCCAAAACCTTTCTTGTAGCTTTCCCAGGTGGTATCCCAAATCTTTGGGGTTTTTTTGCAGTTTTTCTGTATGACAGTCCAGCCTCCATCTTCTCCAAATTCACAACGTACCAGTAGGCGCTTTCCTGGTTTTGGCTCTATTAAGTATAGACCACTACTTCCATGATTTATAGCTGTGCAGCTTTCTGGGTAAGATTTAGCTGTCAAGAAATACACTAGCATTTATAATTTGCATTATCTCTACAATAGTACTGGAATTAAAGAAAGGTTTATTATTAAAGATTTCACTGAATAGTAAAAAAAATGCCCAGATGTTGTTTAATATGAATGTTTAATTATGAATGCAAGGAACCATAACATCCTACAAACTGAATCTTTTATATACTGTATACGTTTATTGAAAAAGGTAATGTAGAGAGCTATGATGATTGGAGAAATCCATAGCAACAAATCAGTGTCACCTTAGAAATTCTAAAGGGTTGCTCTGGATGGCAATTTGCACCTTTTAAGCAAGGTCTACCAACTACATAGGACTCTTCCTAAAATAGGTCCTACGTCCACCCATTCTGGATACAAATTGCCACAAATGTATAGAGAAATTACATTAAACTGTTAATTAGTCAAGGTATCTCTAAATATTTTTTGCAGTTGGATAGAGTGGAGAATAGTGCAACCCTTGTCAGATTTTTGTTTTTGCAATCTGTATTCTGTTAGTCAGATTTCTCTTTACTTGTGGCATGTATACTTAACAATGACATAACAAATGTAAGAAGAAATAATTTAAAATCTTCTCTTATACAGCTGTCACTAGAACAAGTAACCCATTGGAAGAATTCCCCTACTATTTCTGTTCTGGTGACTCAAAATTTTTGAAACTCAAAATTCTGTATTTTCCTTTACTTTCAGTTCCAGTGACAACAGTCAGCCGAGAAAATGGAGAGCATGAATCTTACCAGCGGTAATATAGACAGCAATAAAAATCTGACAACCCTCAACCCCCTATCCAAATACTAAAAAAAATAGCTTTACACAAAATTTAACAGTGTTGACCAAAAAGATTGATGTCAATCAGGTTAAACATTGCCTTTGAATAAAAAGAACATATTACAAATCTTTATACTGACCTTGGCTATATTAAAAACATGAAAATTAAGTCACCGCTAAGACATCTTTTCTGTAACCTGAACATACCCAATTTTCTCTACAAGCAAAAAAAATTAAAAGCGTCATTTGTTGGACTGGCTGGAGTCTATAGTCTAGAACGTAAAGTGCTCAGAGCTGTATAGTCTTTTTTTGTAATGGTGCACCTCCTTGGTACAGAGCTAACTAAAACTCTAAATATATTTGTCACTTACCACTGGTTGGGTAGTTCAAAATATCTTCAGCCTTGATTCCATTTAACACATGACCATTTTGAAGCTTTAATATTGCAGACAGCTCCAGTGTATACCCATAAACAGCCCATTCAGCCAAGAGTAACAATGACAGAGACCCATATATCCCTTGGACCCCTGTAAAAAACAGTATGCGTAAAAAGGGGTAAATATGTAGATATTTCAGGATCTTATAATAAAAAATATGCAATTAAAAAATTGTAATAATTTATGTAGTCAATTTTATAGATCTATATATCTTATCTAGATTAGTAGACAATATTGTTTAACCAAACCTGCCAACTAATTACAATACTAAGTGCAAACCTTTCAAACCTTGTAAGTGCACTTGTCAAGACATTTTGATAAAGCTGAACAAACCGTTTAATGGGTTTCAATAAGTCTTTAGCTGCAAACTCTAATTGTAATAAATCTTAAGCTTCAAATTCTCATTAATATTTAGAAATGTAAATGATTGTGCAGATTCAGTATGTTAACAGATGATTTTACTCAAAACTGATCTCTTGGTCTTCAGTGAATATTACAGGATAAAACACCCAACAGCTTTTTATATTGTCTGAGGCACTAACAAATTATTTAGGTACAAGGCTTCCCTCTACAAAATTGGGCTGGTACTTTTTTCTTTTGAGGGTTTCTTAATTTTTATTTTATGTTGAAAAAAAACATGCTGCATCCTCTACTGCATCTTAATTCTTGTAGTAAAACCTCTTTCTGTGGTAGATTTTGGTCTAGACTTGCTTATTAAAAATAACCTCCTGACAAATTTTACATTGCTGTATCAGATTCAGTCTCTTAATTCTTGTTGTATAACACCTACCTGTTCTCTTTGTCTCTATTACCTGTTGTATCATCTGCAGTCTCAGTCTCTGCAAGTTCAACAGAATTTGGCTTGCAGCAGAAACATTTTAGTATCAATGAGAACAGGGACTCATTGATGAACTGCTGGCCAATATCTCCTGCACCTGTAACCATTTTCTTACCAAAAAAACGGTATTGCTGCCAAAATGACCTGAAAAAAAGCTTTTCGTTCAAAATAAAATTAATTAGATTGGGTTGGTGCTGCTGTATGTAAGTCTAGCTAATTGTAAGAGAAATAACTGTTCCATAGCTAAATATGTGCTGTAAGTAATCACTGTCTCTGAGACTGTCAAGGAATAATAAGTAATGCTAAGCATATTATTTAAATGATTTGGGTATTTTAATGTTGCCATTGAAGCCTCATCAAAGTGCCTAGCTCCCCAATGGCTTATTTACAATACTTTGCCTATTACCCTTTATTAAAGGGCAAAATTTACTAAGGATCCCACCACCACCACCACCACCACCTTCAAACAGTGGAATTGCTGCTAAATTTGGAGTCACCACATTTCAAACAGGATTTGCTGAACCATCAGTAAGTTAAAATCCAGGCAGATTTCCTCATCCCCAGTAGCAGGGCCATGTAACTTGTAGGACTGAATGGATACAAATGCAAGTAATTTAGCAGATAAATCAGCTTCCTTTTATTCCATCTATGTATTTAGCTGTTTGCCTGGACTTCTGCTTTAAACAAAAAACAAAAGGATGGACTGAACCAGTGAAAGTTTCTTTCTAGTGGCTAGAGGAAATCGCTACATTTAATACAATGAAAATTACTTTAATTTGCAGGCTTGTAATGTGAAAGTCAATTCAAAAATGACTTTAGGATAAACATAAATTTCAACTAAAATGAGGCTATACTTTCCCTGGAAGGGAATCTGGATTTGTCCTCAGAACATCTGTCCACTTTAAACCTTATGGACAACATTGTACAGAAATTTCAGAACATTTTTAAAAAATACCACTTGCCACTTATGTGAAATAGGACTGTCAGTCCCACTTATCTGCCAATCAGCATTTTTCAATAATGTAACTAATCAATTTGTAGATTCTACACCTTGCTATGGCTAATTCCTTTGAGTTTGTCTGAAAAAGAACATTTCTTTCTTTTTTGTTTTATGCACAAATGTGGAATTTTTACATTTCGGACTGTAACTCTGCAATTTAAGATCAAAGCAGAACCCTAGCCAAACCATTTTGTGTCGTTTAAAATAAAGTGGGGATTAGATCCTCTCTCAATCAAATTGTTGTCTGTATCTTCTTTGGGGAGATGATCCCTCAATTCTTGTCCTAAAGACAAAACAGGAATGAAAAAACAAATGTCCCCAAAGGCAAGGGAAATATCCTCCTACAATTGTCTCCATGGGAATATTTCATGCATAGCTTCTGTTGGGCCCTCTGTTGGGGATCACTTACTGATGAAGTGGCAACATAGTCAACAGAACAAGAAGGAAGCCAGAAAACAATGAACACCTGACAAGAGATTTTTCTTTTCTCTGAAAAACTAAAAAAGATTTCAAAGACTTCAATTACACTTTTAGATACTGTTAAAATAAAACAAAGCTGTTCATCTTGTGAAACTGCATGTACATATGTTTTGTGCAAATGTTGGCAAAACTGAATGTTATTAAGCTATTTTCTCTCTAGGTCAAATGTTCTTCATAAAATAAATCAGAAAATACAACATTATGGCCACTAGATGGAACTGATGATCACAGTATTTTTTTATTCTTGGTACTTCTAGAATAGTCTAATAATGTTCAATTTTGCTTCTGTTTGCAAAGAATGAATGTACTGTACATGCAGTTTAGAAGAACGGTGATCTCTGCTAAAATTTTTTATGCACTTTTTTATGTTTTAATTTCACTAATCAATAGCAGAGAATATACTACAGATAGCAAAGCAATACCTTATAGTCAATGAAGGTGTCCACTAGAAGTAATACAGTATTTGCTTGTAGATAATAAATCCTTAATATCACTGTCACCTACTCCACAGGATACATTATGGACATAGAATATCTAGACCTGTACAATACACTATTCAGTACACAGGTGCTTAAATAATACATCATTGACCCATTTCTAGAAGCTCAGCAGAGCATCTTACCCATTGTTGTCCAAGAAGAGTTGGGCTCTGTATCTCTCTGACCCAGCTGTTCTATTTATACAGTCTATACATTGGGAGGAGATTTAAATGTTCTATCAGAACAGCTGTTAACCAGAGATAAATGATGTTTAATAACTAGGTGTGAAAGCGACTACTGCCTGTTTGAGAAAGCCAGTATCTATCTAGTTTTACACAAACATGCTCCATGATTTAAATAGAAACGTTGCTCTGGATATTGGATATTAGGCCAGCACTATGATTCAGCTGGAGGACTGCACGCATACAGAAAGAGATGCAATGTGTTATATACTGAGCATGGGGTGCAGGGAGAAATGATTATACATCCTACAGTGACAGGGATAGCAAAAAAAAAAAGCTGAGTAGAGCAGCCGAGGAACAGATGGTTTGAAAGGAACATATATCTGCAATTTGTGTTCTATGAAAAAAGAGCAAATTGACAAAGATGGTTTATGGCAAAAAGTGCAGAACACAACAGGCTACAATGCCATACAGAGCTTAGGTTATGCTATCTTAAACATTAAAGCAAGCTTTAAACACCTTATAAATGTTTCCACTTAAAATTCTCCTAAGTAATTGAATACAGCTAGAAAAAGGTGTGAATCTTGAGTAAAATTGTGTGTGAAAAAATAGACTCCTTAGCATCATTTATAATATATATATTATGTTATTATTATACAGGATTTATATAGCGCCAACAGTTTGCTCGGCGCTTTACAATATAAAGGGAGACAATACAGCAACAATACAGTTCAATACAAGAGGGTTAAGAGGGCCTGATCCTTGGAGCTTACAATCTAAGGCGCACACACTCACTGGCCACTTTATTAGGTACACCTGTTC